ATTAATACAAGCGTAATCGATGCTCATAAGCTCTCTGAAAAGAGAGGGAGTTAATCAGTCTCTAGCATGCATAAAATGTACACGCTAAACCTCATAAAGTGATTCGGCTGTTTAGTTTCCTTAAATGAACACAATGTGTTATCATTTCTCAGGTCATCCCGACTGGGCTTAAACTCTATCTCATTATTGTCCGCGCTCATTCAACACCATCTCACTGTGATACTTCTTAGTAATTTATTTATGAGTGAAAATCCCTTCGCACTAGACCGTTAATGGCTGCATTCATTCAAAAATCCTGCTTTACTAGATGAAATAACATTGAGTTTATAAGAAAAACAATTGAACATCAGTTGAAAAAAAAACCGTAAATCATTGCAGTATTAGGCTGGTTAGAGAGTAATAGAGGTTTTTCTCCTGACGAAAACAATGAGTTGCTTTCAAATCAGTGTGCCAATTATGTATTTGTCATCACAAGCTGCGATCTTCAGAAGATCGAATGAAGCTCAGCCAATGCATCCAGAAATTCTCGCGTCTGTTGTCGAAGAACTTATTTAGCAAGTTTGTGAAATCCCTTTTGTTGTTAAATACATCGTTACAAAATACATCTCTATGCAATTGGGATAGGTGGTGGTAATCCGTTAGCGCAAGGCGTACAGTGAGCAAAAAAGGAATTTACTCAAGGTCTTTCAGGGCGGCTTTAACGACGTTCACCAGACGCAATCTGGTGTTATCGTAAGGAAGCATAACTTTGCATTGTCTGTCTTCTCTGTTGGAAATCGTTTTTATTTAATGCCAGCCTTTCACAGATCGTTGTCTAGCGCCCTGTTATTTTTAAACGTTTCCGAGCTTATAAGACCCTTCCAGTTTCACCGATATGGTGTTCTAGCTACAGGTTTGGCATAACTCTGGGCCTATGCTTACATTTGGAAGCTATCTCTTGTTGTTTTTGATACACAACAGCATAATGCACGCTTTCGCGGCACCCGTAACAAGTCTGCGTAGAATTGACCTTGTAGTTTGGCGCTTCGCGACATCCTGAGAAATAATAGGACGTGCCTTTTTGTACCTCTTAGCAGATTTGCTGGGTTTTCAGACGCTTCTTTTTTTGCAGTAAAGTTCCGTACTTAAGTTGCCCTATCATAACCGACCGAAGCGAGTCGGTACAACTTCTTTGAGTGAAATCTGGAGCAACAGGCAATATATCGAAAATACATCAATGTGATTAACTCGATAGGGTCTATTTCTTCTTCTTTCGTTATTATGCGCGGTCGACTTACCGCCATAAGATCCTTTAGTGTAATTTTTATTTGACGCTGGATGCAAACCATACAACTAGTAGGCGGTTGCAATAGGGTGCCATATATGGCAAATCAGTGTAATTAATGAAATAACTTTCTAAAGAAGTTGATGCTTATTCAATTTCAGTTTACAAAGTTGGAAGTCAAGCCTTAGTTGTACAGACGTGCTAATTCATGTTCCCAGAACAAGTAGTGGTTAAATAAACCATAGCGTTTCAACATAAAACCGGACGTTGTAGACGACCAATAATTTTCTTAGCCAACACCGATCGAGCTGTAGTTTTGTCACTTCTATCATATCAAACGTTTACTTTTTTCATTCCTTAATGAATTTAATTAATAATTCCTTAATTCCAGCAACTTTCTTTCAGTCTATATCGGAATATCGGAAGTACCAATTAACTATAGCCGTTGGTAAGAGCTTTTGTTATTCAAATAGTTATATATACCAGAACTAAAGTTTTTCTTTAACTATAAGAATGCACATAATAAGTAATAGCTGCATTATTACTCAAAACTGTACAAGTGTTAAATGTGTCGATTTTTATCATTTACAGAAGTGCGGTAGGTGTGTTATAAAGTGATCATTTTGTTACTGAGTTTCTATAAAGCTCGTTACCGTTTTGAGATCACGAGATACATATTTTGACATTGTACACTTTAATACTAAAAATATCCATCAAATCAAGCCAACTGGCGGGTTGTCTATTAATAAGTAGTGGAAGTAACAGTGTGCAGATAAATTTTGAACTTGGTAAGTCGTCGAACCCAGTAGGCCAATATTTTTTTCCGAAAATTGTACAAAAATAAAAAATAACATGTGGAAATCAGTGTGTACTCCGCGTAGTTGTAGCCAGCGTTAAATCGATGCGATAACGCCTCGTCGTACGAAAAGTTCACGGTTTGCTAATGCGTCTACAAGTCCAAAATCTCGCAGTTGCGCAATTTCGTGGCATCAGAGCAATAGTAAATCACATTATACCAATACATTTCGAATTGTTTCTGTCTTTGTTCTGCATCTCAAAGCATAATAAGCTATCTGACCAACTCTTGACAAAGTACCAAGCTTCCGCTAGCCTCAAGTACCCAGGTTAAAATATTTTAATGAACACATTACATTTAAAAACGTATTCAATATTCTAACAAGTTTTCAACTAGATTGAATTCAATACACTTTTTCTTTATTTCAACATAAAAAAACATTCTCTAAAAATATTCGCTTGACACGTTGCGAGCTTAACGGTAGCCATAGTACTGGCATGTAACGAAACTGTGTTATATATTTAAATTTTATCCGCCCCGAATACCTTGTTCATGATGTTCTTGAACATCCCTTTCTAAAGTATATACATAGTTATTCTTGTATACAATATATGTGCGCTGAAGCCTCGTCTCACTTCATTTAGTGTACACCAAGTGTGCTGTCATTATCTATTTCGTTTTTCCTACGGGAGAACACCTGTTATCGCCATACCATCACTGTAGCAAGAAATAAATATCCTAACTGGTTTTCGACTTCTCATCAGATCTACGTTATCATTAAAGAGGGGCTTTTTATATGTTACAATAGTGTTATATGTTCACCTAAGTTTTCTCTCAATCTATCCATTAGGGCTTTTCTGAGGTATTTTCAATATTTTGAGTCCAACAAAGGTACGCTAAAAAAAAAACTTCCTGCACGTTGCCTTCGACCGACAAGACACATAGAATCATTGGGATGGAATACAACTAACCTTTATAACTGGTTTATCTATATATGACTCGAATAATCATAATTTCACTTCATTCATGACGGATTTCCTTTGAATAGACTTTAATCCTTCTCTATGTGATATGGCTCGTGGATATCCTATTACCAACGAAAGCCACTTCGGTTGAACCTGATCGTAACACGTTACCTTTCTCCTATTCTAAAGGCAGCTTAACTAACAACAGTAGTTTTTGTAAAGGCATTTTCTTGAATGTCTTTTGGTAAACAATTCTTTAAACTGTTTGTAAAATTTACTAATCATTAAGCTAAGAAATGAAAAGCTTACCATTCTATATGTTTTTTCTTTATGTTATATATTAGATCAATTATATTAGCACTTATCATATATCATAATACACTGATATAAATAAAAATTAGTACAAACAATTAAATGGTCGGGTTCAATTCAACACGAGGCAGTGGTGCAAATTTTGACAGTGAATTTAGTTCCCGAAACTGCCATTAAATTCATAAAATCTGTTTCTCGATTTAACCACACTTGTGCAGTCAATCTCTGCATATCTATTAGCTTTTTTTTAGAATACTAGAGCTCTTTTCATGGTCCGTTAGAAAACGTTTTCTTTGCTCTTTGCTATTTTCAGATTTTTGTTCGGATTTTTTCATTGATAAAGATCATCTAGACATTTAGCTAAAAATATTTTCTTTTAGACATGTGCGGATAATACTAGATAGCTGAAAATACTGCTCAAGAATAGCTTGTTAATTATTTCCTTTACATTTAAATTTTTAGGTACATCTTTTAGCTACATCATTCTCGACATATGTTCCGAGGAGTGCTGTCAGCTATTGACGCAAGCATTAACCGAATAGCAAGTGTCAAAATGTTGTTCTTTGCATCCTACATACACATATTTAGAGATGAGAGTGCTTCCGACAAAATATTGAGAATAGGTTGAAAAAGAAAAACCGCTTTTTATGTAATGTTATTACTACTATAATGTTATTACTATTAGTTTATAGCTAATATTTGCATATTTTTTAGAGTACGAAAAATAAGAATAAAAAGCAGTCAATGAAAACTGCCATCACCTTCTAAACAACCTAGTAATAATAAAAAGTGTCTGGTACCGTAGGAAAAGCATAGCGGTGAAAAGGACAAACGCCGTGTAGTGCTAAATAATAAATTATTATCAAGAAGGAAACTGACAAGACTACCTGCATAGCTTGAAAGATAGGAGATATTACAAATTTACAAAGCATTTCCATTATGTTTCGCTAAATTATATATATCCTTCGCCAATCGTGAACCTTCCCAAATTACTGGTGAATAAGAATCTACTGTCTTGGAATTCTGTCGGCTCCTTGTTTATTAAGCTTCGATATAAATCATTCGTGATTGACCACAGGTTTTTCAGCTGGTTTTGAGTGTGGCAAACACCTATCTTTGTAGCTCTACGAATGCACAAAAGATACAGGCTTTTATCTCCCATGCTTGTGTGATATTTGATAACACGCCTGTAATCAACACATTTGCTATGGTCCTGTACTGTAATGAACTCAATACCATCCTGGTATATTCTACCGCTGTCACCATATAGAACGCAATCCACTACAAATAAATGCACTATTGACTAAATCTCCCCAAATATAATGATATGCATAAACGAAAACAATATGGTATAAACGTACCATAAACAGACGCATCCACGCACGTAATACGGCATCTGTATTCTTCGTGTACACGTTCAGATTCCGATGTATATGTTTATTAAGTGTTGGCTAAAAAAGCGATAAAGTAATCACGATTCATAATGACCAACTTGTTTGCACAGCGTTAAGTTTAAAAAAATATGTGTTTATGTGAAGTTAAGTCTAGCTCTGCTTATTTTCCTGACTCGTCTTGGCAGGTTTTTAAATCCAATTATTATTGACTGTCGTTGCAAATACAAAAACCTTTACAGTTAAGTTATAAGGGAAAATAGCTCTTCAGATCTATTATCCAAACTTCGATTTATTTATACATTTAGATAACCAATTTGTGGTCAAAAGAAAAATGAGTACGACATTAAATTACACCAAATTGTCCACTGTGGTAAGTGGTATCTTAAACAGGCAATTCCTACTGTACAACTTGCCTAAGCAGTCTGTATCAGGTACTGTCAACATATTCATCATATCACTGACAACTAACGCAAAGCGTAAGTTCACTTGCACTCCATCGGTTCGGCTGACTTTTGGGCCGTTAAGTTTCTCTTGTGCGCTTTCTCAACTTCCATTTCGTCCGCATTGGAGGTGCCTGGCTCTTGTTCGGCGGCTTCTCTCTCTCGTTCCTGGTATCTGCGAATAAACACGTACCATACATATACCATAATAAATGTAGGTCTATTGCACAAAAGTGTATTTATGTAAATGCTGTATAGGTTTGTTCGATTTCCCGTCTCCTACATGGAATATTGTTAGCTGTGTTCCGTCAATAAAACAAAACCGTCAATTCATACGAACTCATTATCAATACCCTTAGTCAAACCTGCTTTAGCTTAATATATATGGCTATCGCGTTATAGATTCATCGCCAAATACGCTTAATGCGCAAACCGACTTACTTTCCAATACTTATATATTTACTTATATATACACTTATATATACTTATATATTTACCTGTATCTACAGAATATTTACCAGGTGTAACGCTAATTTGTTAAAATGTTAACGTTTGTGAGGCACTTGCAACTTGAAGAAAGCCGATTACGAGAACTGAACTTAAAAATATCAAGTCAACATGTCATATGGCTATCATCGCAGCTGGAAACTCATGTGGCTTTGAACAGTACTAGTGATACCCCTTTTTCTATAATAATAATAATAATAATAAATAACTAATACTACGTGCAGTAAAAATTTTACTAGAAGAACCGATATTTTGAACACACGCATAGGACAGGAACGATTACAGAACTTATTTGATGATTTTATATAAGCAGCTTTCAAAAACGAGAGCCTAAATTAGTGATTTTCTAGTTAATTCCTTACAGTGATTTCCCTAACGATACGCATGCAAAATAAATCTAAGGTCACGCTACATATTAATTTTAATTCTAAAAATACATTGCAAATGAACTGTTATGCCATCTGTTCGGGAGCACCTTAAAAATATGACTAAACAACTGATAAAAGTGATAGAGGCGCTAATGAAATGTACCCAATCAACTATGAAATATTGTCATCAGGAAACCTGGTCTAGTTAGGGAACTGATTGGTTAGTTTTAGCTAACAATTTAACGTGTTGATTATTGTTTTCGTGTATGATCTTAATACGACTAAAAACATTTATGCAATGAGCGAGGAAGTAAAAAACATCAATGTTTGCTGCATTCAAAACGTGAGTCTCTACGTATATAATTATTAATCTTCGATAGTTATTATGCTATGGTGATGTTTATGAGTAAATATATATATATATATATATATATATATATAATAACTGTTAAATTACATTCAAATTGTGGCAAGAACAAACGAAGCATGAGACACGCCTTCTAGCACTAATTACAATATTTATTATTTACGAATAGTAGAATTTTAATACTTTGTTAAATAATTTGGTTCCGAATTTTAGTGTTTTTATTATCTTTGCTAACCGTAGCAAATAAATTTTATTAAATAAAAAGCCTTTTAGAGCACCGAATTTGATAAGATAAATGGCTGCATTTCGTGTTACCAGAAGCTGTAGGTAAAATTTCTAATTATTAGTTAGAAAAAAAATTGCTCTAAACAGGAGTATAAGCATCAAAGCCAGGAATTAGGTTGAAACAACTGGTGCAATATTGAAAGAAACTCAGGAATTAATGTTTGAATATATATTGTGACAGAATGGCATCTACTTGCCTAATTAACGCAATATGTCGACCACTCCGAAGATTCTGAGCATTTTTGCAATAGATTTTTACTCCTACCTATGAATTGCTTTACCAGTAATATTCCAAATAATTTAGCGTTACTTGTACGGCCACCCACATTCACCTTTGCACATATCAACAACTGTTGTGCGTATCTGATGACCCCTTCCATGAGCGCCATACAATATCAAAATTTAAAACCCTGCTCGCGGTGTCGTTTATGCATAACGTGATCGAGTAATCATCGTGCATTTACCACGAAAATTTATTTAGCGTTTTAAGATAGAAGCGGCACGTAACCAAGGTAGCAATCCCCTTATTTCAACTAATGAAACAATAATTCCATTAGGTTTAACATGAAGTGCGCAGTACATTGAATAACAGTATCACTAAAGCAGACCCAATACACCTAGCGTTGCTTCATGTTTTTGGTTATGCCATCATTTCTTATGGCTAAAGTAATTTTACGATCATGTTCCGTGTGCATATATGGCAATAATAATGCTTAATTGTCTAAGTAGATATGTGTAATTTACCTAACGTTGGGATGCATATGTTGAGAGGATTCAGATCAGAAATTTGCATGCATCCGCTGTGTAGCCCGGATCTTGCATCATAAAATTGTAGTCTTTTTTGGTTTCTACAGGACTCATTTATTAATGGAGGGATGCAAAATTACGTATGATAACTTTTCGCCCTGAAACTACAGATCTTTCACAATGGTATATTATGGTGCAGCCAAGCAATTAGCAGGAGGTCATCAACCAAAATGGCGCATGTGTCGTAATATTATTTTAACATAATGTTTTAATTTTTTGCTTTAAAAGGTCAATACTTTTGGGCCCTTACAACAAAAATTTGAACTTACTGCTTGTGATGCTATAAGCGAGAAAATCTGCAGCAACTAGACGGGCTTATACTTGCATGAAGTGCGTTTTATGTTTTCTAATCGTCTTCACAACAAAGGAAATTAACTCTCAAGTTACTCATTCAAACGCTTCTCTTAGCGTAAGTCACATCGTAGCTTCACTGCCAACTACGCAAAACCTAGATTTTTGTGAACATTATTCTTTTATTTGGTAAACAAATAAATCAAGGACAGCGTCAAGTTAGCACGATATTTTTACGCGTGACAAAACGCTGTTGTGCTGTTTATCGAAGTCAAAATTTAATACTGGCCATTAAATTCTATCATATGGTTACCTCCTTTGTTTGAGAATCTTGTTTCGCTTCTTGTTGCTCAACTTTATGTTGGCAAGTGGATTAACACGGGTTCTACTCTTAATCGCCTTCTTACTCAGAATCCCAACGTCTTCAGGTGCCACTCGTACTTCCTTTTTCTTGATCCCTGCTCTCTGACGTTTTGCTTTCATCCTCAACTTAAACTTCTTCGATTTCCGAAGCTCCATATTCTAGTAAAAATAGATTGAAACATAACCAGTATTAGCCAAGCAAACGTCGAACTACATGCGGAATCGTTATTTTTGGGTAAAGGATTTGTAAATGGATGAAAGCGACTCAACACACGACATTGACGTGCAAATAATGTGCAAATAATGTAATAATATGACTCCAAAGAAGGGCATGCTATGTGTTTGGTGGACTAGGAAAGGAATCGTGTATTATGAATGGCCTCTTGGCAAAGCGATCGATTCAGATGCCTGCTGTCAATAGCTAACAACATTGTAACAAGCCATTGAAAAGACTGACCTAGCGAACAGAGAATTCGTAATCTCACATCATAACAATGGCAATCTACTCGACAAAGATGGAAAGAACATAGATGAGAAATTTGAATACGCTATGTAGCCCACATCCTGCACCATCAGACCATAGTCAATTTTTGCCCCTACAGGACCCATTAATGTTAATTCAGTTTAACCAAAGGGATGCAAAAATCACTTGCCAAAATGTTCACATTGAGACCATGGCACTGCTATAATTGTAATACCATGATGTTACCAAATAAGTGGCAGAAGGTCACTGAGCAAGATGGCACATATTTCGTCTAGTAATATTCTTTTATTATCATGGAAAAATGTTTTAGTTTTTGCTTTGAAGCGACCAATACTTTTTTGACAACCCAACATTTTAGCTTACTTAAATGGCAAATTTTCCGCACCACTTCCGGGGTCACATACAGTCCATTCAAGAAACAAAAGTTCAAAACCGAACTTAAGTATTTGTTTGAGACCTCATTTTTGAAAACTTGTACAACTCGACCGAAACGTGGAATCGAACTCCATAAATGAGTGAACGACCGCGTTTCGTCTCTCAATTACCATTATGTGTGACCGCAAAGATAAACCGATTCAAAATCTACCGCCTAGTAATAACCTAATAAATGTAGTCGGTGTTTATCACTTATATATGTTTGTCATACCGAAGTAACACATGTCTTTCCCGTTGTATGCATCATTGTTAATATATTGTCTCCGGTATAAGCGAGTTTAAATAAAGCGTATAGCCATCAGTGCAAAAAGCTTTTGACGTCCTTTTTTTGTTACAACGATGCATTTCTATCCGTATCATGTGTGTAAGCTCTAAATAATTCACTTGTGAATTACCGAGTTCATTGAAATCTTTCTATGGATGGTTCCCGGCCGGCGAAGTACCATTTTGTCGGCTCACTAATGAGACCTTCACAATAATCAATCACCAATATGTAACTTTATATATCCTTTGATCAGAAACGATTTCAAGAAATATTATGCGCCGTGCAGTTTAAAGCTTCTACGAAAAACTTCTTTTCTTGCTAGTTTTTTAGCAAGATGTAAGCCTTCGATGAAGATCACTAGCGAGCAACTCGTGTTTATTTATTTACTGTTTTCCGCTTTCTTCATTCGAAAGCCAGTGGTTTCGATTTCGGAAACGAGGCGACGCGGGCTCGTATAGCTGTCAAGAGCGCGCGAGCGCATTATTTCAAGGTTCCTTACTTTAGCACAGCTCTTGGTTATTATTTGATTAGAAAGAATTATTAATATAACATTATTATCCAATAACATTATTAATATTATTAGAAAAAATTGCAGATAAGCTTACACCAATGACTATGACGTGCGTATATTTTTTAACTCAATAAATGTGCGTATGGCGGGCTCTTTGCTAGCCTTCCATATATAGTTTTCGTCCTGTCAACACCGGGCGATATTTATTTTCAACAAGTGACCAGTGTCTCGATTACTGTTAAGTAACCTATTTATATATTGTATCTATTTGCCATATATTAGTGCTATTCGCGCTAAAAGCGGCACACATATCGGTGAAGTTAAATATACTCTGCAACCCTGAAGCGCGGGTCTAGCCTACGTAATAATTTTGTATCTGGCCCTTTTTGCGCAAAGAACTAACTATATATGTTGCAGTAAATATTCGAATAGAACTTTGGACACTGTGAATATACAACTTAGCTGGTTTCATTCCTTTCATACCTGCTGGCTTTTAACGGAGCTACAAAGTAAATTTAAATATGTTTTTATACACGTACAGAATACAACTTAGTATTCTTCTAAGCTTTTCTGAATATATATGCTTTTTCTCAAACTGCTTCGTGTATTTCAAATGACGTCAACTTCCACTTATCTATATAAGCGAAGTTAAGAAGCTAAACCCTGTCTCTATTTTATAAGCAAATACTGCCTTGTTGCGGCCAATTCGCCACTCTTTGTTGTAACGTTTTGTCTGTATATACCTTCTTTTCGAGTAGTTCATTGACTGAAGGAAAATTTTGTACTTGTTCTCGATTGTTCTTATCTGATCTGGACTCTAGTAGAACATAAAACCGAGTTTCTCCTTACTCTTTCGTGTGCTCACGCTTGTACTGTCCACTTTTTTCATTTGTAGCGGCTGGTCGTCGAACAGTCGTAGCAGTAATTGAAGCGTGTTCTTTCTTCAAGTGTTGCTTGCCATCTATTTCTCTACGTACGTATTCGTTTGTATCGGTCAATATATGTGTGTATGTATACGTGTGCACTCGCTGAGCCAAGCGGGAAGTGGAAAAGTCTGCCCAGTGTCTTGTCATGCCCAACGGGGCTCCCCCTGCAACGACCACAACAATGCTACAAGCAAAACTAATCACTGTTGACTACTAGTCGGCTACGACCCATCTCATTGCTTTCTGTCGGCCGCTTTTCAACGAACTGTCAGTTGTAGACACACGGCTTGACAGATGTAAAAAGAAAGAACCCTAACTGGATACTGCTGCGGCTGCTAACTACTGGCGCATTCGGCGGCCATTTTTTTTTGTTGCTATTTACTGGAAGGAAAAGAAAACAGAGGAGGAGTCGTGGAGGCTGAGACTGACCACCAAACACGGCGAACCGACTGGCGAAAAGGAAAAAGCTGATACAAGCAATAAGGAAGACAGAGAGCCGCGATCTGTATCTATCTGCCGATTGCCGTGGCTGCTTCTACAGGCTGTATGTGCATGTATTAACGAATGGCTCGACTATTGCTCCTATAGGAGAAAACAAGATAAGGCAAGGGTGAGAAAACCTCTCTAGTCGTCTACGGCTCAGCTGAACCGATAGAGCCCCTAGGGCTCGCGTACACGCATGCTGGCTGCTGCTGTTGTTGTGAGCCTGCTCTACCAGATGCTGTGGCGCTTCGTTAACAACCGAGTTGTTAACGTCGAGCGCCGCTCGTCCTCATATTGCTGTGGTGCTGATAGTGGGTAGTGATAGTCTACGCTAGGGTCAGCTGCAGTTCCCAGGCGGTGATGCTGATGTGGTAGGACTGCGTTATCCAACGTGGTGTTGCTGCGCCCTATGCCTGTTTTCCAACCAGTGTCTGTTGCTGTCCCTTGTGAATGTTGAGATCTGCTGCTGCTGCTGCTGCTGTTGGCAGCAACAGACGGAAAAACAACAGCAGGAACAGCATAGACACATAATATAGTTCGAGTAGCTGTAGTGGTTGTTATGGCTGTAGTCGTGTTCGTCCGAATGTACGAATAGTTTAGAGAATATACTGCGACTGCCCGTTGAATAATACCAGAAAAACGTAACAAAACAGCGCATAAAGATTGCCTAGTTGATTTGCTGTAGTCGTCGTCGCCACAGCGGCCGAACACCAAGTCTACGAACGAACAAACTGACGATATAAGTAGTTGTTATTTTTCCTTGCCCACAGACGACGACGACGACGACTAGTTGGATACGAGTGGAAGCATCGGCAACACTCGGTGTTAATGTTGATCAGCGTTTTGTTGTGTTGCGGCTCGAACCATTATTGGTAGGCTCGGAGGGTCGTTTGCTTCGTGTTAGTTGAATCGGTTCCATGGTCATAGTGAAATCGCAGGGGTGGTGTTTGTGACAGGGTCTCTCTGAGTGTGCAGTGCCCGCGACAGCGCTATCGCCTATTCAAAGGGAGTAAAGTACGAAGGCAGAAAGGGAACGAACGTGTGCGTGAGTGTGTAGCCACCGGCTGTGCGTGTTCTGGTAGAGTAAAGAAGCACAGCGAAAAACGTTGAGGGAGAAAAGAACGCCAAGTGTTATCGCTCGCAAGTCGTGGCAGTAGACAACAGACAACGAGAACGCAGTCTGGACACGGCCAAAAGACTCAGACTTCGTTGCGGCCTGCGAAAAAAGAACGTATGAACCGGTCGACGATAAAGTTGAGCAACGCAACGAGCAGCAGTGACAGTCGCAGCGAATTCCGTAAACTCGAGCACTGTGATTGTTGCTTGCTAGTTGGTTATAAGTGACTGGCTACCGACGAATGACTTCGTAACGGTTGCTGCTAAAAAAAGCCGTTGTTCGATCGCCGCAAGACGTGTGTTCTGCCGCGAGCGCTGGTCACCCAGTTACGGAGCGATACTTCTCTCGAATGCCCTCTCTGGCGTTTAGTGGAGAGCACTCCAACCTTGCCGTTACAACTCGTCTGGTCCCTCGCTTTAGAAAAAGGTTCAAAGCAGACAGAACACGCCAGCTTGTATTGCGGCAGTGGCAGTGGAATACCGTAGAATCGTAGAGTCTGAGCTGTCGGAGTGGTTTTTTGCGATTTAGTTGTTGTTCTCCGACGAAGATGTATTCGGCTGAATAAGGAAACGACATACTGCGCCGGGAATCAGAGCAAATTCAAGCAGAACTCTCTTGCGTGACAGCCGGGTCAATTCCACGACGAAACGACACCCAAAAACGACGAAGCTTCTATTCTGGCCTGCAGCTGGCGTTTCCAAAAGGTGCTGGCAGTTCATAAAATTTTTCTGTCGTGAAAATTTATAGAAGAATAGAAGTATATAGCGAACGAACACCTCGAACGTGACAAGAAAAACGTCACTGAAATACGGGAAAGCGTTGCAAAACAGTAAGATTATCACAGACGTTGAACGGCGCGTTCGTCCATGTACTCTCAGCACATCACTGACTGCTCTCTGACGCGCTCTGTCGTGAAGGTAGCGCAAGTATGATCAAGAAGCGCTTCTGCTAAACGCGCCCAACTCTACCACTCGGCCTATCTCTGTTGCCTTCTACTTCGTTGTTGCTTTCTTGTCCATAGTTTTGATCCAAAACTGCTCACATTGCGTCACCTGTAACGGCATCATAACAGGCAAATACGTGAAAGCATGCTAACAAAGGCTATTGTTGTTGTTGTTGTTGCTGCTGCTGCTGCTGCTATTGCTGCCGCTGCGGAACAACAACAATAATAACATTGGTAACCGCAGCATTAATGTCGACGTGCAATAGCGAAAATTGCTGTTAACAATAGGCACATGGTCGTGTCCTGCGCTATCCCTAATTGGCTACATGCTCGTTAACCAGCGTCAGCAGTAGCAGAGATAGCGGTTTAAATTCGATATCCATAGCCAATGGCGATCCGTCGTTCCCTTAATCACAGCCGTTCGATTTCTAGCGAGTCGATACTCTGTGCTGTTGTGCTCGCAGTTCAGAAGAGAAGGATAGTGTAACAATGTCGTAAATGATTAAAAATAAAGGCAAGAAGAAAGTTTTCCTTAACTAGTAAGTTTGTCCAATTTGTCTGTAAATTATTCATGTGAAAAGTGGAGACGCCGATAACAACAACGGTAGCGGCAGCAGCAGCAACGGTGCAGATACTGACGACAGTCAAACTTGACATAATATATAATAAGCGGTATGTATATTGTACTGTAAGTGATACACATATGGATGCGCGACTGTTTGTGCGGGCCCCAACGAACTAGAGGATACACTTAATCGGTCCAATACGGGTTGTAGTAGTACCGGTAGCAGCCTCACAAGACGTCCCTAATGTGTTTCTATATATAAATCTCAAAGAACATAGTGGTATATATATATATATACGTATAGATGATACGCGAACATTGAGAGTGTATGCAAAGGACGGGGCACCTTTTGCCCTTAGCTACTACTACTACTACTACTGCTACTAGTACTACAACCACTACGTCGACGGAAGAAATTCTGTAGACATGGCAAACACCGAACCCCCGAATTGGGGCGTGGAACTCTGGGTAAGTGAGATCTTCGCATATATATGGTATGTGCCTCACAGGCAGACGTTGGAAAGAGTTGTTGTGGATTAACTCGATTGAAAAATGCCCTACCTAAACGGAGAAAGGAGGATACGCGCGTTCGCGATCAGAGTTTTGACAATACCGTTCGATGTTGTGGCCCTCGCGGATGCATACTCGATGGAAAAACGTTCGTCGGTGGAGTCTGGCCATACGTGATGCGTATCTCCGCATAGAGCGCTCTTTACCAAATCTATTCCATGCGATGAAACATCTACTCTCGTTTATGTGTATATATAAACATAACTTTAATATAAAGTTAACGCTCGCGCCCAACACACGCCGACTGAAATCTCATCGGCGTGTGTCAGGCATCAGTACGGAGTCATCGACTTTATTACTGCAGTGGTTTTTGTGGGTGTCGGAATGCTACTGTGTTAAGCGTTGCCGTTGTAGTTACTGTTATTTGGAGGTACCGCTTTGTGACACGCTGAGCGGTTGAATGACGCTTATGCTTCTAGCAGAAGCACTGGGCCGCCGGCTGGGCAAATGTGAGCGCCTACTGATGATACAGCTGAGCGCATAGCGGATAGCAGCGACGAACCGTGGCGAGTGGCCACTACCTCATCTCATGGGTGGGGTCTGCAATGGCGGTGCTGACGGCTGGTCGCTCCGACGGTCCGCTCGAAGGCAGTAGCAGTGGCGATATCTCCGAAGTGCTCGCCACCCTTTTAAATCGCTTCTTCTTACTAAGACGACAAAATGTCATAACACGTAGAAATCATGCACGAGAGTGCCACGTAAATTCCGGCAGACTACACGTACAAATAGACAAAGTAAGAGACCTACAAAAGCCCCTTATAGCGTTTGATTTATAATCAAGGGCTGTTGTGAGCTTTGTCCGATATCGACTTAGACTGGGCAGAAAGTGATGACTTGTGCGAGCTCTTTTCTCACGAGGAATTTAGTACAATACAATACTAGTCGCCATAAAATATCCTGGAGATACTAGAAATATATTGTCCAATATAGGCCACAGGAAAATGTCTGTCGGCCGAAGAACTTGCGGTGAAAGAAAACAGGAAACGACACAACGACATTTTTTCGAAACGAATCAAAATAGAACCCTGCTGATCGCGCCAAGCCAGACGACCTATTACGCGTTTGTATCACGTCACGTTTTTTGCCAAACTGCCGGCACAGACAGAGATTTTAGAGAGCGAACAGGACGGGACTTAGTCGTCATGCTTGAGACATGAGCAAACAACGTGGCATCGGCGCTGCATCATTGACATCTTAATCATTATGGTTATCAGATTATTATGGTCAGAGATGTTTTCGTGCAAGATTTCGCTTGAAGACTAGCGAAAAAAAACAGCAGCTCTCCTTAGAATAATTGTTGCGCTTATTATAATGCTGATGATGATATGGGGTGCACGTAACGATGTTGTTCGTTCGGGCGAAATAGGCGTTCGTCATAGGCAACTAGGCAGACCGACGAGTTGATGGTATAGCAATTTGATCGCTGGTCAGATCGGCAACGTAACCTAGGTACTTAGCGCGAAGGCGGATTCAACTGGTTAACGGCGGTGACCGCACTGCTAAAGCATCATAAAGAAACAAGCGATCGACACATGCCCGTCAAAGGAAATCTGCATTGAGTGTTATTCCCAGTATATAAAGTTTCATCGTTATTATTATTCTTATAGCTATTGGACACCTGTCATTTTCTCCCAGTGATCTTTTTGCAATTATTACGATCAAGCCATAATATTAGACAAGATCCCGCTAAATAGTTGTTACGATGCAACATATATGTTGCATCGTAACAACTATTTAGCGGGAGCCCGATCTGTGTATTTGGTTTTTGTTTTCATCAATTATTACACCTGACAATTTACTGATCGATGCTATGCTGTAATGATAATAAAAATATAAATAGGTCCTCTCATTTAGCAACGGCCGTTGTCTCTGGACAACGGTCTTTTCGCTCATTCTCAACAGTTCCTGCGGCATTTCGATTTGGCGGTTTCTTAGTCGGCCGGCCGGCTTCTTGCTCTTCTCGTTGATACACACTGGTGCGACGTCGATGTCTATCTTCGCGTGTATGTTTGTGCATCTGTCTTATCGGCTGAACCGTATTGAACCAGTGATCGAAGCAATCGGACGACGAGTGGTGACAGTGAGATCCTGTCGTTAGCGTCAGCGACTACCATACACACCGGCTGACTGTTATTCTTGTCGTAATAGCAGCAGTCTTAGCAGCAGTAATAAGGATAATGGTAGTTCATTTTTATTTAACAGTGAGTCAACCGGTGAACTGTGCCCGACGTCCGACGCGCCAAATGGCGGGGCCGAAGGGGCTGTTGATATGGCCGGTCGGCGATAGCGCAGTAAAGTTATGTACATATGTACACTGCTAGCGCTATAGTGACGAGCTGCCGCGTTGTACAGAGTTCATCTGTGGTTAGTACATCTCGAATGAATAGGTACTTTCGCAACGTCATATTGTAAAGCTTTTTGCAGTCTAATTTTTCCAGCACTAATTCTTCTTCGGAGGCTGCTACTGCTATTCGGTAACTTTTTTTTACTAATGCTTTTAATAGGTTGGGTCACACTTTAGGGGTAGGTCGGGATTCCTCAGACCGAGCCGTCCAACGCCGCTCTTCTAAGTGTCGTATGTGACGACGACCCATGGAAATAGTTTCGACGTTGTCCTCGTTAAGTTGAAGTATGCGCTATTCAGTCGGTACCAGTATTCAAACGCGATCTAAAGCTATTAGCTAAGTAAAAAAGATGACAAGTTGAAAACTTGGCTTATTTGCCCATTTTTCTAACGATAGGAAAGAACGCCGAAGAACATTCTGGAGATTGGCCCAAATCATCGGTGAAATAGCGCTTTTGCTTTCCGTTCCATTCACAAGTCTTCGAGCGAAGGGCGACAATGCTACAAACTTTGTTACTGCCGAGTCGACGGCAATGTAGTTCCTGTCAGCGTTTTAGTGTTCGCTGAAAATTTACAACAGAATAATATATTGATGTGTTTATCAGTTCTAAGGTTTAATTCGCTGCCGTACGTGCGTTTCTAAGGTAAATCGTACCCGAAGAATAAATCTTCGTGCGATGCTGTCGTAATGACAAAGACAGACACGACTTTCATTACTACTAGGGGAATCCTTGCTTTTCGGTACTTTTGTGAATCTAATGGCAATATGTTGTCATCTTTTAAGTGCCTTAACATTACCACAGATCTTCCGTGAATTGTAACACCAAGCAAGGAGTATGTCTTAGGCAGAAGGCTGTAATAACGACCTAAAAAGGGACCGGCTGCCAATCGATACAAGAACTATACTAGTTAGGTACTACTATGACAATATAGTTAAAATATAATCAGCGCGCTATGTGCATAGTGTCACATATAATTGTTTGTAGTCGAGCCTGCAATACTCGTCACCGAAGATCTGAGCTGATTCAGAGCGAACTTTAAGAGAAAGGTACAGAGAATTAACGGGTAGTGGGAATTAATGGGGATAAATACAGCCGGCCGGCTGAGCCCCACGTCTCACAGACACCACATTTTAGTTGTGCTAGGCATACGTAAACTATATTGCCGTAAACTATATTGCTCAAACTCTGTATGAAAAAAAGAGCTGACTGAGGATGATCCGTTTTGTAAATGATTTGCGGCTACGAATATCAGCTATTGCTAGTTACGGATTGCAGCTAATAGCATTTTGAAGGCGCATTTCACATATCCAAAAGCCAGTTTTTAGCTTAGTATTTAGGTTTTTTCGTCACGCGTCCTTCCATTGTTCCCGGTAGCTCCGTTCTTGCTTAGTTTTTCCAAGTACTAAGGCTAGTACTGACTGAGTGTCAATGTTCATCTAGTGGCGAGATCGCATTTTGGAAACTATCTTATGCCATGATACTCTACTTATAATAAAATGACCAGCTTGTATGTTCATAGTTCCCTTACGCTAGTATTGTCGTGCCTGTTCATTCATTTTTTCCTAGGTCCCGGCTTTCCACTCTGACAGGACGTCAATGTGCCTGAGCTCCGTCCAGATTGGTTAGCACCACTGGCTGGACATATATACCGATTCTGTTATATCTGTGACATTGCTTTAAGCCGCAAGCATATGACGTGTCTGTCGTGGTGACGGCGGCGGCTGTTTGCGCTGAAAACGCGAGATGCCGGTCCGCATTCATAACTTGTATAATTGGTGGCCACCGTCGCTACTGCACAAATGATTGGTGATCAGTGGTCTCTAGAGACGCGGAGCGAGGATAAAAGTATCTCTTGTAGACGATAACCTCGTGCGCTTCGATTTCATGGGAAATACGGAGCCAATAAAGCGACAAATAATCGTTGTGGACTCATAGCGAATAAGTTTTTTTTATCTCAGCATCGGATAGCCGTCTGTCGATGGCGGTAGTGGCATCAAGATCTGCGGCTGGGATGATACTGGATTGATCAGATCTGAAAACGATAGCAGATGTTCTAGTCTGTGGACTGGAAAGGGCTATTAGGTATTGCTGTGTCTATGAATAATCCACCATCCCCGTTCTGGGTAGCGGCCTTTCTAGGCGACAGGCATATTCTCTTATTAAAAGTAAAACGAAACGACGCGATAATCAGGCCGTGTTGACAGTAACTGCTTTTGAGCATTCGTAGGAAGCGGTAGATCTGCATTTCTATAATTGTACAATATATCTTGGCGTGGAGTTTGCCTTCAGAGGCTCACATGAGTCATTGTCCGTATCGAGAGCTCAGAAAGGCAAGTCAATTGGCCTCGAGTTGCCGCCTCAAGCTATGACTCATCGAGTTGTCAGGGCATAGCACAGCACGACGTATACTGTATGGAACGTCAATGCCCCGGAGACGCCTAACGTGGTTGCTATTGCTGCTCGACTAACTAGATATCGTATATCCTGCTATCTATCAGGAACTCCGTCAGCAGAAAATGTCTCATAGTTAAAATTTCATGGATTGTGAATTT